TTCGTCATTGGGACGCGCTTGCGGAACCTCGCATTGAACCGCATCGCGTTCAAGGAGATTCTGCTCAACAACGACTTTCAGGACATTCGGAGCCTCTCTCTATCCTCGTGGGCACCCGGGCTGACACAGGCAGACCTATGCGCCATTCTTCGCGCTATAAGCCCCACGCTGGAATACTTAGAAATCAACCGGCCGAAGTTGAGCGAAACCACCTTCGATTGGCCCGCGTCTCGAACAGACATACAGATGTCCCGACTCGAATCCTTTGTGTTCAATCCCACGTTCCGCAACACCCGAGCGGAAACGGACAGTCTATTCGCCGTCCTGGCAGCCGTCCCAGTAGAGCAATGTGGATATGTCCACCTCCAATACTGCAATGAGGAGGTTGCAGAGTCAATCATACACGACGGTTCCTTCCATTTCAGGATGGAGAACAAATTGACTGACGCGTACTGCGACGATCGCACATTGTTCTTCAAGTCCTGCGTCCACGTCCGATTTTCGGACACCGCACTAGAGTTCATACTCGCGCGCAATCTCCTCTACTTTTTTCCCCACATAGAGCAATTGGAAATAGCAACCGCGACGGTGTTCGCGCAGGCGCTCGCAGCTGCGTCCGATTACTGGGAAGAGCTCTGGCGTGTGGAGTGTTCTCCCGACGCACTGCCCACGGTGGTGCAGTACGCGAAGAATCGCATACAATTGGGAATGAAGAAGTTGGAGCACGTCTGCTGCTGCTACGACGCGCCCCTAACGTGGCTCAGTCTCGAATTCCTGGCTGATCTACGCGAGTGCGTCGACGAGGTTACCACGCGTGAGTATGACAGCGACTAGACGGACGTATGATCGTAGGTTTGAATGAATCACAAGGGCCGACAGAATTCTCACCATTACCTGGCCACCTATGTAAACCGAATATGCCTGTAGGACAATAGAAATGACGATATGAATACAGACTGCGTCTAACTACGGTCAAGCCGGACAGAAAAAATGATAGCAACACGCTGGCTGGCAGCCTCCCTACACGCACTTAGGTCAAGTTTGAACTACGAGGATATTAGACTTAGCCGCTGGCGCATAAGCGCCACGTAGTCGATAGATTGTACAACCGCTGGGCTCTGGCCAAAAGAGGAGGAGGAGGAGGAGGAGGATGTATTACTGCCGCGGTCCCTATAAGGAACAAGGTATTGGACCAACATACACATGGCGCCCAATATGTACGCCACAATCGGCAACGGCCTTGTCGCTGTGGTAGCATAGGCACAGATAGCACCTACACATCTCACGACAAGACGGAAGAAGATGGGACGGGACGTATTACGGATTCGTGAAAACTATCGGAAAGTAGCGGGGGGACTCTTGAAACAGATACACCACGTCGTAGACGTACTTGGCAAAAAAATCGGATCCCCTTCCTCGTTGATACGGTTTGGAGAAGAAAGCATAGTTAGCGATCTGCCCCGTAGTGCGCATGCACTTTCGGATCGCAGTTTGGAAGATTAGTTAAGAAACAATATCTCAGCTGCAGCAGACGCTGATTCAATCGAACAGAGTGTGTACTTAATCGTCGACGCTCCCCCGCCACAACCTACACAATATGAAATCGCGAGGCACAGGACCCCGGTACCGAGTTGAGTGCCGTAACGGTTCAACGCTTAGAAGGTGGTGGCCGAGCAGAAGTCCAGTGAGGGCTTTGCGACGTGCAGGTACTGTCACAGTTGTGAGATAGTGCCGGAGTCGACGAGGCGCGAGAACCAAGCAACGGTCGTTGCCTGTTTCAAGCAGGTTGCGGAGCAAGTGTGTTTTCACCAAGCGGTCGAGGTTGTGTTGAAGATTCGCGTCCAAGATTTGGACGATCCGTTTCTCCAGGTCCTTCACAAAGTCCATCGAGATAAGGTCGTCTGGGCCAGCCTCTATGAGGCTAGGGAGTCGTCTGAGCATGATGTCCAAAGTCTCACGGCGAAATCAGGCGATGACACGTCCTCCGTGTCCGACTTTGAACGCGAACCCCCCTGTCGTCGGCATTACCCAGTTCAAGCAAGTATCTCACCATCGTTAGCTCCTGCTTGTGCCAGTCGCAGTTGACGTCAATGGTCCTATCGTTGTGCGCCGCGGAGTCGATCCTTGTGGTGAAGATCGGGAGCGCGTCGCTCACGTTCCTAATCCTTCCTGGATTTTTCATATCGTCATATGATGATGCTTTCAGAGTATTCCAGAGCGGCACTCCCCTCCTCCGTACACCGTTCACAGTTCACTGAAATGATACGCTTGCGAGCGGTAGTATGCATCAGGATCTGGTCCCGTATGATAACAACACTACGAAATGGCCTCTATACTTTGGTTCACGGGTACCAAGATGAGATGGCGTTCAAAAGCTTCTTGAGCAGACTCCCCATAATCGTTCCTGCCGGAGTGCCCGTGGAGCTTGGCCTGAGCTATGGTATCAAATCCTGTCGCAGGCCCTTGACGCATCGTGGACTGGTTGAAAAAGACACAACTCCCACGGCCGCAGTCGTCGCCGTCCACAATGGGCCTTGCGTTTTCCCGGGTGGGTCTCGCATTGCCTTCGGTAGTGACGAACTGGATTTCTAGGGTTCCGTCAGTCAGCAGTTTAGACAACCGTGGTGTATTGCTCACCATCAACGTCGATGTTGAAGTGATACAACAGGGCGGAGGGATACATTGCGATTGTCCATGGTGGCAGTTCTACCACCACGACTGCCTCCCATATGACCAACCATGTTCTCTGTGTGTGATTAAAGTTTACTAGTCCATTTTTAAATTAGGACGATGCTCGGGTATGAAAGCCACGTACATCCTGTTTTCAACACATATATGAAAAGGACACACACTCCAATCTGGTTTTTCTTGTCTGCATGGGGGTCGCAGTGAATCCCCTTTTGCCCTGGGAACCAAGCGTTGATGCACATATTCCAAAACAATCCAAACAACGGTTTAATCCCGTATCTCTCTTCGTGCCATCTGGCATCGGCGAGAAAGCGTGCAGCGACGCCGGGGAACTTATTGTAACCATGTTGGTGACGATTCTTCTGCAAAGAAGTCAGCCGCATTCAGCGTTTAAGCGGGAGAAACATACATACATGAGGCTCTGAATGGTTGAGTCGTTAATAAAGGTTTCCGCAGCCTTGGGGTTGTGTGCATGCCATGCGTTGAGCTGCGGGCGCTATAGCTTGGATGAGATGAATAGCTCATTGCTTCGGGCAAATGGTGCTTACAGTTGCTGACTGGCGCTGGTGCCCAAGAATCTTCGGCAGATGGTCACCCCGCATACCACCCTTGCATTGAGCACGGACAGCAGGCGACTTTAAATCCGCACTGCACAGTTCAGTTATTGCGTCCTCGATTTTGTCGGCATTGTCCCTCAGATATGAAACGCGAGAACTGCGGAACATGAATATCACGCCGGCCGAATCGACGAATACAGTCGACCGTTCATCCCTTATACTGAATACAGCTTAGCGGACCGTTAACCAGATTTCAATCAACGCACCTGTCACAGATTTTATAAGGAACTGGGTAGAATTTGCTGATATACGGATGCAGCCCTCGGCCGCGTGCTTGAGCTCGGTGGAGCCTCAGTATTTCTTTCCGAGCAAGGGGAGGTGGGGCGGCGCCTTGCCATCCCACTGGGCTAAACGATGCATCGCGCTGCAGGGAGAACGCGGGGGCTTCGAGCACATCGCCCCTCGAGAATGCTCGTTGGACCTTAATTTCTGGAGGCACAGTTCGACGTCGCGTTTTTTTGGTTTTTTCTGCCCCACTTGGCGCGAGTGGATTCATTATCTTGTTCGACCTTCCGCCCTGACCTCCTACGATACCAGGAAGCGCAGAAATTGTAGCTCCCGTGGCCGGTAAGGCAGGCTCCGATCGAGCGCTTGGGGGTGGGAGCTTGAATTCAGTAGATCTGAACCAGGACGCGACTTAGCTGACGGATGAGAATCAGTGGATGCACACTACCTCCAGCCTCTATCCTGGACGACTAGCTTGCCGCCCGAATCAAGCCATTTCTTCGTGGGCCGCGGATTGCTCATGTTGTCCGCAGAGTCAGCCCCAGGTCGTTTATTACGCTTCTTCTTACGGCTGCTCGATGCAGTTGGCTTTTGGGCGTGCAAAGCTGGGACACTTGGCTGGGATCCGTTTGGCTTGGCCTGCAGACGCAACGATCGTCGCAAGAAGAATCGTGGATGTAGTGCGTCCAAATCACGCGGAGGATCGTCGCATGAGCGTTCGTCGCGTTCCCGAACGTAGATGGGCAGTAGGTCCGACAAACTACACGGCGACGTGAATACATCTCCCTGGACGTAATTGATTACTTAGTGTCAAAGATGAACGCTGGTGGTCATACCTGGACGGCTACATTGCAAGCGTGCTCGAAAAAACTCGGTGGCACGAAGGGCGTCTCCGTTGGCTCGTCGAGGAATTCCATTGACGCAATGAACTGCTTGTACGCGGCGTCTGCGTGATCAACCGGATTTGACATGTCTCCCAGGAGCCTGGCGGGGTCTCGACTGGGATGTCCGTCGCCACCGGCCGTCGCGTCAACGACGGTATGCAAGGTCGGTCTCGCGTGTAAGGTATGCGTGCTGGGTTGCAGATTCGTTGTGACGCGTTGCTCTAACGGCGTCAATGGATGTGCGCGTGCGCGGGGCTCCATCCGAAGTTTGTGGTTGTTGGAAAGGAGTAAACGCGTCGAGACGCGTCCGTGGGAACGTCAGCGAAGGTGTCACGTGCTTAGCGTAATGTTGTCAAATTTGACCTCCAGGCGGCCTGAGCAACCTGCCTCCTGGATATAGTTTCATATTGTGCTTTGCGGCAAATGTGGCGATTATATCTCGATCTCGATCTGGAAGTCTGGCTGAAGTTCTGGAGCGGGTGATAAGTTTAGTCTCGGCCCAGGTACCAGGGGTACTTCATAATTATGTGTTTTAGCGCGAATGCTGCGTTGCGGGTACAGTGGCCTTGGATGCTTCGAAGTCAGAGGACTCGTAGATCAACGGTTAGGCCGCTCCAGAAAACTTATAGTTAAGTTCAAGGGGAGGTTGCGAGTTCGACTCTCGCCGAGTGCATGTTGCGATGGTCATGCTTTTCTTTTTTATCTTTGCATTGTCTTTGTCTTTAGTTTTCATGTTCTTTCGGTCAACACAATTCGTGTTATCAAATTTCATTCTGCTCTAGACGAACGTCGCTTCGTCTCACGCGCAGTCGCAAGTCACTGCAAATGTCTTGACTTCTACACTTCTGCCGAGGCCAAGTTGTCGCCCCTTTGCCCGCCTTTCTTCTTTTGTACACACTGCTGTCTGGGTACACTCGCCTTGAGTGGTAATCCTTCCAATGACACTGTGTTGAAGCTCTCCACGGCGTAAATTGAGGCCGTCGAACAAGCCGGGGCTTTGGTTTTGAGAGCAATTCAATTTAGCAGAGGAATTGAGAGACAATATAGAAGCAGCAAAGAGAACGCAAAAGCAACAGCACCAAAACACAACAATTGAAAATGTTACAGCATGCACGCGACCTGGTCCGCCTGCAGCTGAACGGTTGCATGACGCGCAATCAACTCATCGGCATTGACGAGGTCCTCCGCATCTGCGCGGTTGGCTAGGGCGTAAATGCCAAGGGTCGGATCTGTAGTAGAGATATGGAACTGCCGCGCCTCGAAGCTAGTTTTTAAAAGATCAGAAGGAAAATTAGCATAGAGGCCTTATCACCTACGGGTCGACGAAGATTTTGTTGTAATTCTCGACGACATAGAAAACGGACGAGATCATTTCATATTTATCACTAGCACGTCGCTTGTAGTTGCCGCGGAGGTCGGGCACGCGGGGCAGATACTTGAGAATCCTCTCGAAACTGCGTGCGATGTAGCAAGGAGAGTCGGCCTCTTCGGTGGTAGTACAGTCGGTCTCCGCCTGGTCAAGAGCTCGGTCCCTAGCTTTTAAGTTAGAGCGCACCGGTTCTTTTTTTTTGGGTCCTGTGTACTGACTGTTCCAAGACAAGTACACCGTGAGTGGTTAGGAACCAGGGGCCCCAAAATACTGAAGGAACGGGTGCTGCATGGGTAGATTGAATGTTCATACTAGCCTAGTGGTGGTGGTGGTTGTGATTTGAGTGCGGTACTGCGGACAGTCGTTTGTTTTATTATATTAGTACAAGGTCATTTTCAAGTCCAGGTGACTTTTTCCCACGCGAGTTCCATAGCACGCATCATTTTTTGTATGGAGCGTGCGCAAAATTTTCAACCGTGGGAAAAGTTCGTTCGTGATATTTCCGTGGCGGGAGAGAAGATGTGTCCCAATATCTCCACTGGCAGACGGTGTACAGACATTGAGTGGTATGGGCGATAATAGACATATAATGGGAGATCCATTCAGGTCTGACCTTCAAACCAGACACGCAAGACGATCACACCTGATTCAAAAATTGCCTCGCACATGTTGGCGAGATATCATTTTACACACCATTGGGAATTACAAGCAAGCTGAGAATGTGCGTTGTTCGAACCAAATCCACCGGCTTTTTATTGTACATCTAAGCTAACTCGACCGCCCGACGCGCATCCTGCCCCGGTCCAAACTTAACTCCACACTGGACCGCTCGTGACGCGACACTTCTGTCCGAGAACGACAAGACGAGAGGGAAATGGTTCGAGCGCGGGTCGGTGTTGCCGATCGTCTCGTAAGCCTTCGCAGCAAGAAGACTCTCGCCGAACCCGTTCCCCTGCTTGAATGCGTCCATCTGGGGAGAGTCGATCCAGCTCGGGAAAGATCCCGAGCACCTCTCGACAAGGACGCGGTGGACTTTACCATGGAAAAACAGCACTCCATCTATGAGATTCCCCCTCTTCACCAAAGCGTCGTAGGCGTTTCGCGCATCTCTGGCCTTTGTGTTTAACGCAGGCAGCCCGGAAAACTGCACCTCCCGCAACGTCAAGACCCCTCTGAGGTACCCGTCAAGAACACGATCACGGAGGGTGTTATACGCCGTTGTCCTTCTTTCGGACGCACCGCCTATTCGTGAGTACCCTCCGGCATGCAGACGAAAGATGGACAGCAGTGGGCAACGTTCCACCACTGTCCCGAGGTCCACGTTTGATATGGGATTATTCAGCAAATCCAGTATGCTAATTTGCACGGCTTGCTGAAGACCCGTGATGTCCGAAAGAATGCTCCAAGTCAGTCCTAGAACGTGGTCCAAAACGACCAGCTCCATCAATCCCGGCGCGGCGATCGGTGGTATGTGCACCACGCTATGCAGTCGAAGCTGTCGAAGGCTGGGGACGCTTGGCCGATTCGTAGAAGACACCGAAAGAACATTTTTGGGCCCGTAGTCCAAATAATGGAGGGCGGGACAGCATCGCAGTACCTCCGCCCAAACCTCAGAGGCTTGGGCGTCGATGCTCAACCGAGTTATGTGAGGGAAGGTAAGCGGAGCATCGGGGGTAGCGCCGGCAAGGACAATCGCAGCGCGATGTGGACATTCAAGATGTTTCAAACGCCCGAGCGCGAGGTTAATATCGCCGTGATTCATCTTGCAGGAAGGGTCGTCTCCAACGGTCTTGATCGACACCGACTTTAGGCTTTCGATAGATGCAAGAAAATCGAACTCCGGTTGCGCGAACACACCCGGGGGACACATCCGGAAGTCCCCGCAGGATCGCGGACCGTCGAAATGAAGAGACTTCCAGCGGTATCTCTGTGTAGCCAGTTCGCGCAGAAGCTGGCGTCCGGTGTGCTGGGGATTTTGACCAACGGGAACGCTTAAGTGTAAGCGCAACGGAAGAATCCCGGACCGCGAGAGGTCCTCACGAACGCGTTCCACGGTCGGCCTCAACGACTCTCTCTCGTTCCACAGTACAGCGATATCGACCCATAGCTCACGAGTTCCCCTGGCGATATACGCCACCGATTTGGAGATTAAAAGATATTTATTCCGGGCTTTCGTGGACTCCAGGATCGCGGTCCGTTCGTCGGCGGCGTCTTCCACCGATGCACCCAGAATTGCTGAACTGATTTCCAGAGGAACTACGCGCGAAATTTTAAGTGGAGTCCAGGAGTGCTAAAGGCCACTTACGTGTTTCGAATGTAGACCGACCCGCCACGTTTACACTGTCCGGCTGCGCAAACGCGACTGCTAATAATCACAACACGTCAGTGTAGACTTTTACAGATCAGCATATCGTCCTCACAAGGAGCCTGTCGACCGGTGACCGAGCCACCTTTTTTCTCAACTACAGACATGATTGTAGGGAACAATCCTCTTTACTGCGGCCATGTAAACGGCGGCAAATAATTACGGCAGTACGAGGTGGATATCTTGGTCTTCTGCACTTGTGCCCGGTCAGCGCAACCCACGCAGTCTCAGAAGAACACTTTCATATAAATAGTGAAAAAGCGCGCGCGACAGACGGATTGCGAGAAATCATCATGGCATGTTGAACGTACCGTGGAACATATTTTGGAATTCTGAGTGGTCGGATTTTGCAGTAGACGCATAACACGACACCCAACGGGATGATGAGCACACCGCATCGGGACGACAAAGGTTTACCAACGCGAAAGGTTGAACCCGAATCAAATGTGCTCTTGAACCAAGAATCCATCACTCCACCTGGCTGCAGCTACCCGTCAGCGATGTGTTTTCCAAGTGTGAGGAGCACATCACAATATTTGCGGCGTCCTTCACGAGTGTATACCGCAGAGTTAATATTTGCTTCGCGAACAGGTCCTGCGTGTCGCCAGTCGCGTTCGAAGGACAGACCAACAATATTTCGACTCGCTCGTCGTCCTGAGCGTGATGAGCCGCGGCCACAGAAATCAACGGGACGGACCTCACCATTTCGTGAACGTCGAGAATTCGCCAAACGAAACAGGCGAGAACGGCCCGAGCGTCTCTCTGCGCTCCAAGGAGGAGTCCATCGACTCCTGCAAATTATCGAACGTCCGGAAAGCCTGTTCGCCACAACTGGCCCCTCTGGTCGAGAGGAAGTCCTTTTCGTACTCGCACAGTGCCAGCGAACTAATGCCTAAAGCGCTGATCCCGACCGACAGAGGCAATATGGTAGAGGGAGGTGAATGCGGGCGGAGAGGGGTCAGGGGATGTCCACTCGTTTGAAACCCTCATGCGTACAGGAATTCTCCTTTTAAACATCGAAAAGCAAACTTGACGCGGCTCACCGAAGTTCGTCCGCGCGTCGTGTACGCATGTCTTGCCTGTAGCGTCCACCAATGTTACGTGGCCTACTGCCGCTGATCCAATTGCAATCTGACGGCACCTCGTGGTTGTTCCCACTGTCGAGTTAATTACGTTCCCGTCGACAACGAAGACGTACAACGTCGTGCGTATAGCTCTCAGTATATACATTGGCATGCTCCCCGATAAGCGAAGCCCTATTCATCGTCTGGTACACCATCGCCTGTGAAGACCTCCAGTATAAACACCAGCCTCTGCGCTCTGGCGTCATGAAAAGCCTGGGAAGCCCACACGCTGAAGGCCTCGTCAGTCCTTGACCACAGAGTGGGCAAGCGAGGAACGTACTCGTCAAAAGCTTGTTGCATGTTGGCGACCATGCAGTCCTCGACGTCAACGATCCCTCCGTCTTCTTCGATCATCAGCAAAAGGTCACCGTGCACGCGTCCATGTTCAGTACGGTTCAACGACAAAGCCGGGTTCGTGGGCCCGAGGAGGTGGCTTGTGGCCATGAAGATTAACAGGTGGCGGTTCGAGCCGTAGGCGACGCGCCAACCAAATGCGTTCAGCAGAGTCGACGCCCCTACAACAGTATGAGGCGGCATGAAGTGAGGAATGGTAGGGGCCCCAGGGATTCGAGGCCGGATCCACCCGTACGTGCGCAGGTCATCCATTGTTCGATAATTGTTAACGCCGTGATCCAAAGGGACGGGCACCAACAAAGGCTCCGCACACGACGTCGCGAACAATACGCCTTTGTGAATGAGCGGGAAAGCCTGAGTGAAGTCGGGGACGCGCTATACAACCATAAAGATAGCGCTTACGGGCAGAGATTGAAATATAGCACTGGCGTATGCGTCGATGGCCGCGAGTTTCGGATTGG